GGGCCAAAGTGAAATAAGATGGTGGTATTTTCCTCCCAATGGCTCCCAAACTGGAGTCAATGCTCAGAACAGTGGTCCTCAAACTGTGGTCCCTAGATCATTAGCGTCGGTGTCAACTCAGAAAGGCGAATTCTCAAGCCTCTCCCCAGGCCTCTGAGTCAAACTCTGGAGGTGGGGTCCACACCCTGTTTTAACAAGAGCTCTAGTGATTCTGAGCTAACTAATAGCTAATGCCCTAGAATCACTAAAGGTGAATCCTGGAAAACCAGCGGGCAAGACTAATCACAAGGACACTCTCCAGAAACAGCCATTTGGAGTTGGGGGTGGTCATGGGGTGGTAGGCTCTGCGTCTCCCACCTTCCTCACACTCCTCCCTGCCAGGCCACCCCAAGTGCTGACGTTACCTTTTGGTACATCTTGTGTTCATACATGTAACGGATGGTCTCATTCAGGTCCTTCACGTGAAGCTGCAAGGGAAGAATATCGACATTTGGACCAACATATCAAGAGAAACCATTTGCTAGATAACACGCTAATAAAGCCCTAATGCTGCTTTGTAAATTCTTAGTTATCGGCCCTTAGAAAGAATCACGGTAACCAGGAGCATTATCCCAAAGTGGCGCCTCATGTGTTTTATTCAAATATTTAAAAGGGGGAAGAGAATGAGCCTTCTCATTCATAACTTTGTCTGGAGCATTCAGAGGCTGCGTTCTATTACTGCATCTAGTGCCACGTATCCAAGTCTGGAGACAGTTTACTGAGGCTGGGATATGAAGAGAAATGTAGGCAAAACCTGAGATGCTTCTGGATACATTTCAAGCTGCTAAGCGTGGCCCCTACACTCGCCTGCCATACACAGAAACCAACCCTGGTGGAACATTAGAAATACACATCACAGGCCGAATGTCAACACCAAGCTTTTGTTTGCCACTCTCCTACTTTGTCCTCACAATGTTAAGAAAAATGGGCGCCTGGGTGGCGCAGTCGGTTAAGCATCTGCCTTTGGCTCGGGTCGTGATCCCAGGGTCCTGGGATCGAGTCCTGCATCGGGCTCCCTGCAAGGGAGCTGGGAGCTTGCTTCTCCCTCTGCCTCTGCCTGCCACTCCCCCTGCTTGTGCTTGTGCTCTCCCTCTCTCTGTCAAATACATAAATAATGTTAAAAAAAAACAAAAAAACACAAAAACAATGGGAAGGAAAACTCACATCGTCATTCGGAAACACCAGTATACCAGCAGCTCCGTGATCGGTGAAGTAAACGAACACGTGATCCCGGGGGCCGCTGCCGAGAGAGGGTGACAGGCAAGGGGAGTCAAAGTTGACCAGTTCCTATTCCCATTTCCATTTCTCTGAAAAGCTGCTGGAAGAAGAGGCTCGAGGACGACAGTCTCCCAACCAGACACAAAAAGGAACACAGGACCTACTGTCAGCCCTTGCTCTCCGCTCCCGCTGAGGGTTACCCTGAGCCACAAGGCACACTGAGAGCTTCAAAACTATCAACTATGGCCAGGGAGGAGGGGACATCTGCTGGGTAGCTGGTCATATGGACCAGGTGTGATGCAAATAGTGGGGTCCTCTGGTAATCGGGCCTCACGTTGGCAGCCACCCTCTCCAACCAGATCTCCCCCAAATGAGGAAGGAAGCCAGGACACACAGAGGAACATAGTCCTTCAGATCAGACTTCTTCCCTTCCGGGCCCCTCAGCCTGCACACCTGCCCACACGCCTCCTCACGCCTGCCCCTGCCCTCTAGCCGCAGAGGAACGGCGCCACTTGCCAAGCATCTGAGACGGTCTGCAGTATCGCTAACCCACATCGCTAACCCACAGCCAGCGGCAAGCAGTGGGCTGGTTTTCCCCAGCCCGAAGGTTAGCGCTGTGCATGTGAATGCGCTCCTCTCCCCACTGGGCTGACGTCGAACACGGCAACCTGACCGGCTCCAGCCTGACCGGCTGCGGGGCTCCGTGCCTGTCTCGGTGCAGCCTGCCGGCGGTGGAACATACCAGCACGAGGATCCGTGGACAGCAAAAAAGCAGTGGGTTTAAGTGACAGGGAACATTTCATTAACAATAATGAGGGACCCCTGGCTCCTCGGGTGAGTTCGGGACAGAAACGGGCTCCCCAAAATAGCCACCAGCTCTGCGCTGAAGTCAGGATGAAGCTCCCGGCTCTGTCACTTCTCAGCAGGAAACAGGCCAAGAGTAAAGAGCACCACTGTTTCGGGTGCCAAGTCATTCAGGAAAGTGTGTCAGCCATAAAACTGCCATTACCTCTTCAAGACCTTTCCAGATCCTTTGCCCTTCACCGCTTCCTCATCGCCTCTCAACACGGCAAGGAAATTTTGTGGCGTGACATCCTGCAAAGAATTGGAAGTCAAAATCAGACGCAGCTGTCGTTCCAAATCCGAGGATTTGCGGAGTCCGTAGCAGAACTGGGCCAGCGGTCCACACGTCTTCAAGGCTCCAAGTTTAACAGCAAAGACTTTGGAACCAAGTAAGACCCAAAGCAAGGCCAGTGTTTCTGGGGCCTGTGCATGACCCCTTGTCAAATATTGTCTTGCCTTTGGCTGATGGCAACTAGCAAGCCTGCCATTCCTTTCTGACCATTACGAAGTCCATGTGGGGAAACCCAAGGGTGCTGGAAGGTAGGGACAAACAGCAGAGGAAGAGCGAAGCCCCACAGAGGCACAGCAGAGAGGGAAGAGAAGCATCAGCCCTGGGCCTCCCTTTGCGTTCAATATGCTGCCTACAAGGTCAAATCCCAAGGACACTTGATGTCCTTAGAGATTAAAGATAACATTGGGGGCGCCTGGGTGGCTCAGTTGTTAAGC